AATTTATTGTTTTGGCAAAATGTTAATCCTACCAATCCATGAACATGGGAGATTTTTTCATCTTCTAATATGTTTTCAACTTCTTTCTTCAAAGGCTTGAAGTTCTTGTCATACAGGCCTGTTGTCTGAGTTTTGGGTCCCACCAGGTCCTTGTCCTGCCCAGTTTCTGCAGTTGTAAGTCCCAAAGAAATCATACAGAGGTCTACATTAGTTATAAACTGATTGGTCCATTAGCTCAGGCTTCTTATTAACTATTATAACTTATATTAGCCCATTATTCTTGTCTATGTTAGTGGCTTGGTACCTTTCTTGTCAAGGCAGCCATATCTTGCTTGCTCTGTGGCTGGATCAGGACTGCAGCCTAGGACTTCCTTTTTCCCAGAATTCTCCTGTTCTCATTGACCTGCTTCTACTTCCTGTCTGGTTGTCCTGTCTATATATACTTCCTGCCTGTCTATTGGCCAATCAGCATTTATTTAAAATATAATTGACAGAATACAGACCATTATCCCACACCACATCCCCCTCTTTTAAAAAACAAAACAAAACAAAACAAAATAAAACTCTGGATCTAATATCGTTTGTTTAGCTTTTCTCCTGACCATTAGCCATAACAATTTGTAACCAACATTCTAAACAAAGGAAAATATTCATAGTCCATTTTGGGGGGTAATGTGGGTGTAGTTTTCCAGGCTAGTTTCTGCTGGTTGGAGGTGCTGATAATCTTATGGGGACCTAAAGAAAATTTAGAATTATGATCAAGTCCTGACTTGGAGTATCCTGTGAGGCTAATGTGGTACAATGGGCAATGTATGAGTCTGTGGCTTATGATCTTTGATGTTCTCAGGCTCACAAAGGGTAAAATAGGCAAAGTGGATTCAGACCCTACCTTTAGCAGAAAAACTTCCAAGTTCCCAAGTGCAACTTTTATGGTCATATAAGATGAGATATCTTTATTGAGAGGGCAGTGAGAGAGGCTAGTGAGATGACTCACTGGTTCTGAATGCTGGTTGCTCCTACAGAGGACTGCAGGTAGATTCCTAGCATCCACATGCTGCTCACAGCAGCCTTTGGCTCTAGTTCCAAGGGACTGAGTTCAGTTTTCATTGCTGTAAAAAAGAAATGCAACTCTTTCAAAGAAAATATTTGATTGGGGTGGCTCTCTTATAGCTCAGAGATTCAGTCCATTATCACCATGCTGTTGGCTACATATTGATATGCAGGCCACAGGAAGTTGACTGAGCCACTGGGCAATATCCTGAGCATAGCAAACCTCAAAGCCCACCCCCACAGTGACACACTTCCTCCAACAAGACCATGTCTACTCCAACAAAGCCACACCTCCTAATAGTGCCATTCTCTGAGATTATGGGAGCCAGTTTCATTCACACCACCACAGGATCTGACATCCTCTTCTGGCTTTCATGGTCATATTTTTGCCTGACCTCCAGGCAAACATTCATACACATAAGATTAAAATGTTTTAAATAACCAAATACAAGTGGGGATTGGAATGCTGGTCTCTGTCCTTTACGGTACCTGAAATACCTCAGTAGAATTCCGTGAAGGATGCTGATTTAGTTACCTTTCCATTTCCAGGCAGACATGAGAAATGATTAGCACCGTTCCAGACATCTAGACACTGTATTTCAAAACTATTTCCAAAAGAAAGTTTTTCATGGTCTTTTATCCTGGCATATACATCTTTCCAAGCACTTCTTTATCTATAATCATCAAACTATAGCGCTGCTCAGCTTCTTTGGCCTTAGTCTGCATGAGGCAGCCCTGAGGGTCTGGTTCTCTGAGGGAAGCTCCTAAATTTTCTCTTGAAGAGTAGGTTTCGTTTCCTTCAGAGAAAATGCCTTGATTCTTAGAATTGTGTCTGGTCTTGGTCCGTCCACAACCCTGTCATTCCAGTGTTTCTTTCTTTACACTGATCCTAAGAGCTTGTTTCTTCGGAGAAAAAGGAAAGAGAGAGAGAGGAAGGGAGGGAGAAAATGAGAAAGCATCTCAAAGAAGCAGGAAACATCAAGCCAAGGTGAGGAGCTGCCCAGAGCCTACCAGGGAACAGCCCCAGCTGGGCTTCTGAGTGTGTCCCAAAGGGACCTTCTAGCTTAATTAAAAACAGGCCACCTCTGCCAGGCCTCTTACTGACACTGCTAAATGTAAGATGGGAAAGTAGCCTGGTTCCTCAATGATTTAATCCCATTACATTTGGGGAAGAAGGTGCTAATAAAAGACGCGGTGTGACTCGGAGCACTGCCTGGAATCATGTCTTCTCTATGATCTAGCAGCCAGGTCTGGTTGTTCGTGCTCCAGGGAAGAGAAAGAGCATCAACCACATAGTAAACTGGGTCTGGGGAACCAGTCCTCGAAGCCTATGGGCTAATTGGTGCCCAAAGAACGAGTCTAACCTGATCGCCGTAACAAAGCCGGAAAGGTCTGTCTTCTAACCGAAACCTTACCTTCACGAGTCTGCACATTGCCAGCACAGTCTCCGGCGCTGGTTAAGGTCTTAGGAGGCTAGCTGGTGCCCTGGAGAGGGAGCTGTTTGTAGGTTGGCGACATTTCTCAGAAACCAGTTCTATTCCTTTATCCTAACAGCCAGGGTGCAGGCTTCCTCTCCATCCTGCCCGGTGTTTGCTCCATCTTTCACGCCTGTCTCCGCTCAAGTGGGAGTGTTAGCCATCAAAGTCCCAAGAAAGGGGAATTTCATCAGCCCAGGCTCTGAAGTCCAGAGTTCTTGAAGATCAATGGGTTCTAACAGATCGCTAGGCCACTGAGAAGAATGGAGATGAGGGCTTTCAAGACAATTACTAAGGCATTGATGGGGTGCCTGTTCCCATCTAAATGGTAATCTCTGGAAGGTGGGGTACTTTTGGGGTGCAGTGTGGTATCCTCCAAGTTCCTTTCTAAAGGACAGGTGAGATGTGGGAGGACCAAGCCGATCAAATGCTTCTCTGTAAGGCCTATGCTTTCTCCGTGTCTGCCTCCATCGTGGGCCCTCGGGGAGGTCTGCCCCAACCCTCATCATCGCAATCCTAACATCCCATCATGCCACAGTCACCTTTGCACGCCCCAAAGCGCTCTGGCACTCATCCTGTGTGCCAGATGTGCAAGATCCTGCGTGCAAGAGCATCTGCCTGCTTTGGCTCATAGTAAAAACCCCAGAGGACGAAGGCAGGGCCAGTCCCAGCTCCTGGTGTGGTGTACTCACACGGAAATTGTCTGGTGAATGAGTGAGCTGGGTAGATGAATGGAACTGAGAATGGGGGAGGGGATCAACTAAGGGCAGGGGCCATGTAAGGGGAGCGGCAGGTGTCTGCAGGACCTTCCAAATCTGTAAGTCCCTGCATTTGTCTGCGGTGGTGGCAGATAAGCATCGTGGGGGGGGGGGACTATTGGCAGCTGTTGGCAGATTCAGAACCTTTAGTGAGTTTTGCAGAATGTTAAACTTTATGTACGAATGCACATTTACAGAGGCAGAGAGAAGCAGAAGGGGAAGGAAGGTAACAGAGTCTGTGAGGAGAGAGAAGGAACATTGCACAGAGAAGCAGACTAAGAGGGAAGAGAGAGAAGGCAGCCGGGTGGGGACAGCCAGTCTGGAACAAAATCTCTAAACCGATTCTACACAAGACCTTTCAGTAGCACCAATGATGACCTGTTGAGTAGCCGGATGTGACTGCCAGTCACAGAAGGAGGGTGTCTTGGCCAACCACACTTTAGTGTAAGTGGAATGAAAAGATCCCAAATAGGATACCATGCAGAGGAAAGCGATCTATCACCCACTGAGATGGAAGGGAAGGAGTACATGTGTGGCTTCCCGCAGGACGGTCACATTTCCATCTATCCTAGTACTTGAGTAGGGGGTGGGGGCGGGCAGTCGAACTCTCAGATGAGAAAGGTGTGTGAATGAACCCCCTGACCCAGGAAACTCAAATGCGTGCATATTGACCAAGCTGGTGGGAACTGAGAGCAACTTAAGGAGAGCATCTCCCAAGATGCTCCAGGGACCAGTCACGAACACGGGCCAGGAGGGAAGCTTCCACAGGCAAAGCAGACTCAGCAGAGGTACAAGCAGATCTGAAAGAGATCATAGTTTCTGGAAAAACTAAGCCTCTCCTTTGTCTATAAAACAGTCCTCAGTTGGCACCTCTGCAAGTCCTGAGGTGGCCAAGGCCTGCCCTGGGAAGAAGTTGTGCTGCTGTAAACTGAAGGGAGAGGGGGTCAGAGGTCCAGATACGACGTTGATATTGCTGCTCTGAGATTCCTGAGCTTATGAGCTCATAAAGATGCTTAGTCTAGTGTGTGTGTGTGTGTGTGTGTGTGTGTGTGTGTGTGGCGTGATGTATGTGTGTGTTGTGTGTGTTTGATGTGTGCGCATGATGTGGTGTAGTGTGTGTGTGGTGTGATGTGATGTATGTCTGTGTTATATAGTGTGTTGTGTGTGTGTGTTGTTTGATGTGTGTGCATGATGTGGTGTGGTGTAGTGTGTGTATGTGTGTGTGTGGTTTGATGTGTGTGCATGATGTGTAGTGTGTGGGGGGGGGTTGCCAATGGTTCCATCTTGCATTAATCTGGAGTTAACCAGAAAGCCTAGAGATCTCAGGTCTCAGCTTCCCCACTTTAAACAATCACTCCCTCTATAGCCGGCAGCTCGGATAAAGTGCTACAGCCATAGTAGTGATGCAGACCTGAGAGAGACGGCCGACTGGGTGCAGGGAGGGGTCACTTATGCCCCCTCACAAGCACCGCTCAGGTTTTAACCTAACCATCGGGAATGCCTTGACATATTTACCACAGCGCAGGTAGCAGTTGTGGACTTTCTGCCGGTTGGCACTGCCGAGAGCATCGCTGGTGACAAGCGGGTTCTGCTGGTCTTGCTTCTGCCAGGGGTGACACATCCTGCCCTGTAGCAAAACCCAGGGACAGATGCAGCTCCGCCAGCGTTGGCACTTGGTAATGCTGCCACATCACCACCCTGTCGCTTCTGTCCCTAGGCAATCTACAAAATGGTGTCCTCTGTCATGAAGATGCCTGAAGATGAGTCAACCCCAGAGAAAAGGACAGAAAAGATCTTCCGCCAGATGGACACCAATAGAGATGGTAGGAGGCTGAGGGCTTGGCTCGGGCTGGGCTGTGGGTGGAGTCCAGGCAGGGCATCTCTACTAGAGGACAGAAAGTCAGCCTGAGGGACCTGACACAGGTGTTCTGGGAGAGCCACCTGGCCTGGGTGGAAGGAACAAAGCTGGGTGAACCCTGGAGCTGCGATAAATGAATGCACAAATCAAAGCAGACAGGAAAGCTGATTTCAAACAAAATAGACAAGTCTGGTATGATGGTGACAGGCAGACCACACGTTTGAGGACAGCCTGGGCTTCATAAGAAACCTTATCTGTAGAATAAGTAAATAAATAAAAAATGCATTCTATGTGGCAGCCACATGTGCAGAAATCAAGAGACCCAAACAACTGAGAAACAGTGACTCCTTTTTGGCACAACTATGCCTGTATGCTTTCTCTGGGACATGGCTTTCCCTAAGGGCTTGCTTGTTATTCAACTGAAGTTCAAAACTAATTTGGCATTCTTTCTTTTCTTGCTGAATCTTGAAATGCTATTCAGAAGTACCTTAGTTTATGGTGCTAGGTCAAGGCTGACCCACGGTGTCAAAAGCGTCACAGCTCTTTAAAAATTTCTATCCATTTATTATTTATGTGTATGTAGAAGCATGCCCATGTGAGTATGTGCGCACCACAGTGGTCAGAAAAAGGCATACAACCACCCCAGAACTGGAGCTACAGGTGGGTGTGATCTGCCCAACATGGGCGCTGGGAATCAAACCCCAGTCCTCTTCAAGAGCAGGAAGTGCTCTTTACCACGGAGCCATCTCGCCAGCCCCTCATTTTTAAAACATAAATTTTATTTTATTATGCTGTATGTGTTATTAGACATCTTATTACATGACCTGTATGCGTGTGCCATGGTGCACACACGGAGGTCAGAGAACAACTTCATGGGGTCAGTTTCTCTCTCTTCACCTTTACATAGGTTTCAGGGATCACATTTGGGCCTTTAGGTTTGTGCAGCAGACATGTTTACCCAGTGAGCCGTCTCTCTGGCCCCAGATCTATAGCTCTTGATATTTAGCGAGTCTTCTCAGCAGTGCGGAAATGAGCCAGGTCCAGCTTGACGCTGTGGTGCCTAAGAGAAGGCTCCGCACACAGTGAGCCTTTCTACCCTGCCCAGCCCCCTGAGAATCTTGGGCTGCGAGGTGCAAGCTTGTCTGTTTGCTGTTTCTTCAACAGAGGGGCCTGACCTCCTGTTTCCCTCACGTGCCTTGATTCACAGCACATCGTTTGTTTTGCCGAGTTCGAGCAAACATGGGATTGTTTTAACAGCTAATGAACTTGCTGATGTTGAATCACAGGTTCTGGTAGTCCGGGGAGCATGGTGGCTTTAAAATCCAGCCTTCTCCTTAGAGAAAGACTAAAGCCTGGGAGACAAGCCACCTCTAATGTGTGGCTCACAGGCAATGGCAGAGTCTTGCCACTGGCACTGTTTCTGCAGGACCGAAAGACCCTGGCTGGATTACCGTTCCCAGCACAGCTGACAACACTGCCCAGGCTTTGCTAATGAAAGCTACAGGGATGAAGCAGTAAGGGAAGGAGGGGTGGGGACTGCTGAGCACCAGGAAGATGCCCTGCTTTAGCTCGGGGCTTGGCTTCAGGGCACTGGGGCTGAGTCTGCTGTCCCTTCTCACCCGGAGGAGAGCAGACTTCACGTAAAGCCTGCCGCCATCAGAAGTTTTCTTGGTTAAGTCTCTGCATTTCACTGCTGGCCTCTGCACCTACAGCAAGTCAAAATGGGAGTCTGCGCAAGAGGGCAGAGAATTTATGTTGGGCACCAAGCCTTCTAGAGCTTGTGGTTCCTGCTGCCGGTGCCTGAGACTTCAAGGCGTTCAAATGGTACTTCTGCCCCATCACCTCAGGCTCACGCTGCAGTTGCTGAGCTGGGGAGAGCAGCTGAGGGGGCCCTGAAGGGCACGGGCCTGGAGAGGCCTGGTGCCTGTCTGTGGAAGTGTAGATAAGGCTAAGTCTCCAGGAAAGAAAGGGCAAAGCTGGGCAAAGGTGCCCAGGCATGTTCCCAATTTACTAGTGAATGAGTCCCTTCATTCAAACTGTGGATGTGCCAGGAATGGGGAACACAGCCCCTGACCACTTCACCATGACAACAGTGACAGAGGACCTTGCCTGGAAGAAAGTTGAGGAAAGGGGGGGATTCCTGAGGCAGCAGAGGCAGGAGATCTAGAGTGTAAAGAAAGCCCGGGCTAATAGTGAGAGTCCATGTCAAAACAGGAAGGAAAGGAGTGGGGAGAGAGCAGGTCCCTGGCTTCTGTCTCAAGCCACCTGGGTTGAGGGACCAGTGGGTCACCCTCTGTCTAGAACACATCCCTCTATTCTCCTGACTTTGAATGAAGACGCCGTTGCCTTCAAAAACTTGTTCAGAAGAACCTACATTCCTGCCCCGCCCATGCACACCTGAGCACGGCAGTTCAGAGCGGCCAAAGGCCCCATGGCCACAGCCTCGCTACTCCAAGAGCCTGGCACACTCAAACGAGGGGGGATACTCATTCTTCAGACACTGAGTGGGCCCCTGCAGGTAGACAGAGGCAGAAGAGCAGAGACTCAAATCAGGGTTGAACCAACACCCTCTCCAAGCCATGGGTCCTGGTTGTGGTAGCCGATGTCATGGTCAAGCAGAGAAGTGGGGTCTCTTCCTCATGGTCTCCCTCCTGGCTTCTAGGGAGGGAAGCCGTGGGCTCCTGCTGCTCCCGTGCAGCGCCAAGGGCTGTGGGCCACACTCACGGGTCCTCTTGCTTCCTAGGAAAACTCTCCCTGGAAGAATTCATCCGCGGGGCCAAGAGCGACCCATCCATCGTGCGTCTCCTGCAATGCGACCCCAGCAGTGCTGGCCAGTTCTGAACCCTGCACCCCGAGGACGCTACAGCCGCTTGTGTCTCCTGTTTAGCGTTGAAACTTTTTTTTTTTTTTTTTTTTTTTTGGCCAAACAATATTGATGGTGATGCTGTCCCCTCTTGGGTCAGATGTGCCCTCCTGTGACACCTTTGCATCTTGCTTCTTTTGTCGTGGACGCTTTGTGGGGATGCCCAGAGCCCCGTGTGCTGTGGACAGCATGAGCACACTTTGTGGTGTCCCCGCCAGATGACTTTTTATCTTACCATGATCTCCACCCCCCCTTGATTCTAATGTCTCTGTCTTAAAACCCAAGACTTGGGGGCAAGAGAAGGGAATCCCACCCAGCGCATAGCGGCTCTGTTTGAAAGACAAAACTCCAAACTGGGATCTGTAGTCCAGGGTATAGTGAGGACCTGGGGCTGGATTTCCGAAGAAGAGGTTATTACAGGGAGCTGGGACATTCCCCCCAAGAGGCTCACTCCCCTCTCTACCCCAGCAGGCTGTAGTTTCTAAGCTGTAAACATTTCAAGGTAAATTAACAGAGGAGATGTGGGAAGACGGCTCAGCTATTTTTTTCCACAGGTTTACACGAGTTGAGCTAATATGAGTTCCTTTTAAAAAATCGGACACAGATGGTAACATTCTAAAACCAGACCCATCTAACTGCCTACTTGTGATTTATAAAAAGACTGCTGTATATAAAACATTGGGTATTGCAGACCAAATCAAGTGTTTTGCCTTGTAAATGCATGTCTAGTGAGTGCTGATACAATCTTACTCCCGAAGACTGTTCTCAGTAGCTCATCGTGAAATCAGCTACAATGAATGTCAGTGTCTTGTTTTAAAGTCCTACCTGTCTTTGCACAAACGTACCAGTCAGCAAGTATATTTTATATACTCTGTAACGTTACGAAGGAACGACGGATGACAAGGGCCCGGTTTTGATGTTTGAATGGTTTTCCGGAGTCAAGGAGGCTGGACGACAGGAGGAAGGCAGTTTTCCAAGCGTCTTCTCCGGCACCCACAGCTCTACACGGACAGGGCCAAGGCCCAGTAACGCACCGACGGCGAATGCAGGTGACGTGTTTCTAAGCAGATGAATGTTCTATAGACTCGAAAAACAAACAGGACTTCCTAACAGTTTAACCCACATCCTTGGTGGGCGAGCCAGATCTAGAATGTTCATTTTTCCTGCCCACAGGTGCCCTTCGAAGAGTCAGCTGTGGGACAGCTAGGCAACTCACCCACTCTGAGAGCCAGCGAGGGGGCCTGCAGTATCCAAGGCCTATGGAGATCCAACAGTTCTGTCCCTCACTGCGTCCTTTGAATGCAGCAAAGTAGAGCTGCTGCTTGGGCTGGTCACCTCACATACACTGCTTTGGAATGAGGGCTGGAAATAGGAACTTCTGGCCCCAGGCAAGCCAAAGCCCCACAAACAGCTGGCATTAGAAGGCCCAAATACTCAAGAGTGTCTATGCAGAACCTGCTTGAGAAGAAGCAGCAAGGTCTCTGTCTGCTGCCAAGCTACTTCCTGTAGAACAAGAACCGCATAAAGATAAACCTGACCACAGGGACAGTGTGCCGAGAGGTTCCTGCCAGCCTGTGGCCCCTCCCCCAGTAACACTCCTACCTGGCAGAAGTTCAGACTTGAATGGTGGTTTAAAATGAATCACTTCATAGGTTGAAATTTTGAGACCCAGATTTTTGTAATCTTAATTTTTCCTAGTGTTGTTTCCTTACATTTTGTACTAAGGCTTGCCAAATCCTGTGGGCCAGTTGGCAAAGTCTGCTTTTGAGCAGCAGAATGAACCCAAGTTGTAGAAAAGAAATAGATCAGGGACCCAGCACACTGGTCACTGGGAAATGGACTCACACAGCCCTCTCTGAACTGAGGACTTGTTTCCTTGGTCTGGTCTCGTCTGATGAGTGTCGTCAGTGTTGGAGAATCCACGTGGGGCCGCCTTCAGCTGAGCCAGAATCAGGTTTCCTAGAACTTAGAGCCAGTGTGGGAACTACAAAAAGTGACTTCCAGCTATTGGGAAACAAAGAGCCTGAGGCATAGGTTGTGAGCCTTGCGGTCCCCAGAAGGCATGCAGAGTGCCAGAGCTGGCTAGCCACACAGACACAACACACCAGGGCCGTTTTCTCCCCTCTCTTCCCCACCTCTCCTCACGCAGGTATGGGCATACCTAACTTTATGCATTTTGACCAAGGGACTTCATAGCACCCAGACGGCTGGGTGCCTGAAGACAAGTCACTCCGGTGAAGCATTGCTCCGGCTGCGTCCAGGGATGGCTAGAGGAAGTGGAGTCTGATTTGTTCCCAGTAGAGGCAGCCTGTGCTGTCCACGGGACAGGACTAAATGGCTTATGACTTGAAGGACGCGTCAAAGTTGACTGTTCATACCTCACATAAGATGGAGAAGGGATGCTGTGGGTGCTCTCGCGCCCCAGCAATACACCCCAGGGGGACTTTCTACAAATGAATTTAATAATATATATGTCATACTATGTGGTGTGGTCCCGTTAACAGTTGATTGTATAGCTCTTGCCTGGCATTAAAGCATGTTAATTATTTAATATCGTTGTCTGGAACATGAGATTTTCCTTACTAAAACTACCCCAGCTGACTGTGTCTTGCGGGGAGGGGGGTGGGAGAAGAGTTTTGAAGCATTGTTGATCCTTGTATGACTTCCTTCCTTCCTTCCCAGGGTGGCCTTCACTCCCTCCCATTTCCTCTCCTTTCCCAAACGTGAGGTACAAAAGCAAAAACCCCGGCAAACTTCTCAGTAGGATCTGGGCAAGTCTGAAGAAAGCAATATAATCGTCTCCCTTCCCACTCTGTCAGGGAAGATTCTGTGAGGAGGCGACAGGACAGAAAGCCAGTCACAGTTTGTTGGGGTGGATGCTCTGGTATTCTCAGTGGCCTAGACTGCAGCCCAAAACGCTAATGCTGTATGAACTCCTCCCTGGAGTAGGAGCTCCAATAGACCCCGAAAAGCCATGGAGACCTCAGAGAGCAGATGTGGAAAATCCTTTTCCTACTGCACACAGTTAGTCTCTACGTACAAACACATCAAGTCATGCATTGGGGTGACGGTGGGAAGGTGGACCAAGGCCCTAAAGAGCCTGCATACTTACAACCCAGCGATTTCCACACATTTCTACCCTGGAGATGTACGTTGTCTGGGAGTCTCTTGTACTGGGCGGCGTTGATATGTGGTGCAGTCCCACGTGTGGCACATGGTCCCAGAAAGCCCTAGGAATGCAAAGACATTGCCAATAAGAAGCTAACCACTAGGCAGCTTGGAGCACCCAGGTCTTAGGAAGGCTAACTACACAAACTGGCCTGGAGTAACTGACATTTTTGTGTTTCTCTGGGAGAAATGGTGAAAACCCTTAAAAGTGCAAGGGAGCTGGACTTGCTAGCCCCTACCCTTAGCTAAATATTTGCCATTATGCACAAGATTGGACCTACCAACATTCTGTCATGGGTGGGAGTGGAAGAAGGGGATAGGGGACAAGAGTCCACCCCTCCGTGAGGAGCCCTTTGCAGTTAACAGTTGCTGGGGAAGGGAAAAATGAAGGGAGTAGGAGGGGGGCACAAGAGAAGGTAATGAGGGGTGAACATGACCAAATTCTACATGCATGCAAATAAGATGTAATTAGTACATGCTGATAAAGTACTCACCAGTACACACTGCGCCCACGAAGACAAATGGCCAGGCAGCCCTCACCAGGTCTTCAATAGCAATAGCTCTGGGCTGGGCTCATGCTGAGTTATCCCAGTGCAAGTGTGGAAGGCTTGGAAGAGTACATGTGAGTTGGGGAGGCATGGTTAGCAAAGAAGTTGCCAGAAGGGGAGTACTTGACTCAAAATCAGTTGTGAATTTCTGTTCTGCCTCCAACACCACTATAAACACCTTAGCTCTCACCCAGTGGCAAGTCGGGAATGTTCTCTTCCAAGTGGTATGTAATGGATATTTGACGACCAGTGAACAAGAGCGGTGTGCCACCTGGAGCGTCCTTTCTCCACATGGCTCCCCTCTTCTGCTTTGGGCTTATCCAAGGCCCCCACCACCTTCCCTCAACTATTTCCTAGTGTTAACCATCCACCGGCGAACAGGAGCTGGAGAAGAACAGAGCTGAAGGGCCCTTGGGAACACGTGGGATGGAGCACCAGGGGTTGATAATGACAATTCTCTGTGATAGCCACAAGAAAGGGGAAGACGTGGTGAGTGACCACACTCCCAAAACCACCGGTTCAGACCGGTGTGAAGAGGGACATGAGGAAGAGGGAGGATGTGGATAACGATAAACAAACAGCTTCCGGCCTATTTCATCCAGAAGTTTCCGTAATAAACACCCCTTACCCTCGGTCTGCGCTTCCCTGCCCCGATGTGCGTGAGCACAGAGGGCAAGGTTGGGGTTGAAGTCAACCAGGGAAGGCTTTTTGGAGGCAAGGTTTTAGCGCTGTGCCTGGAGAGAGAAGGGGCACTGTAAAGAATGCTAGGAACGCTGTTTGTTGGGGTGGATGCTCTTGGGAGATCGTTGAAGATGCCAGCTGGGGCAGCGGGGATGGTTCTGTAATGTGGTTACCACAGGAGCCCTTGAGAGTCAGAATTGGAATTGAATATGGAATTGAAGTATGAGCCATGTGACTTTTGTCCCTCGGTAGAGGTTGGCACACATGTAAAAATAAAAGCATAAAGAATCTCCAGAAATCAAAAGCGCCAATGAGGTGTAGGCAGAACCCGCCTAGGGGAACCAGTGGAGAGCAACTGTGCTGGGGGCCTTCCAGAGCTGCCCAAGGCCTCTTGCTTCCCCCTTTGGGCCTCTTCTCATCTTAGCCGGGCACACCAGGAGCGGGGAGGATTGGGAGAGCAAGTCTGTGCTTCCCTGTAGGCAGAGTCTGAAGAGCAGTCCAGACCCCAGGTCACAGACCCTCTTCCTGAAAGGCACCACAGAAATCACCAGACGCTGCTGTTTGACTCATGTGAATATTTATTCATTTCTTCTTAAAAATGTACAAAAAATAAAATAACATTTATAGTTCATAGATTCCCCCTTTCCCCTTTACAAAACTGTTAAGTTACATTTTCTCTCTTTTTTTTTTAATGTGGGAGTCGATTGTACGCATAGATCTCCCCTTAACTCATGGTTCAGAAAGGGCCATTCTTAGAATTTGGCACAAACCCTCTGGTCCTGTTGCATTTTCATGACTGTTAAATACAAAGGAAAACCAATGTTGACTCATTTCAGGCATCACAGGCTTCTGCCCCAGGACATGCCTTAGTCTTTGAGGAACTGATTTCAGTATGACAACAGCCCACTGTGCGTTCTTCTGTTGGTTCCAATTTCTAAACACCGAGGAAGTTTCAACAATGTGAGGAGGCAGGACGAAAACACTTTCTTGCTTCATACATCCCTCATCTTTTATGGATCAAAAACAGTAACAACAAAAACTTCTTTATATGGGTGAGATTAATTCAGGGGACAATGTCGAGGCGAGCGTTTCTATCCCGCTGGAGTGTTTTGTTGCTCAGCGAGCACAGCAAGGGGCAGACACACGGAAGCCCCAGTGGGCACTCCGCAACCTGACACTGTAACACTCTTTTGTGGCGCTGGCTTCTATCCCTTGTTCTGGCAATGGCTTTCACAAGGACTGCTTAGGGGTTCAGGACAAAGGCAAAGCCAAGCCATCTCTGGCCTATCTTCGACCTTACATCAGACCGGCAGTTTTCCAGAGAGACTGAAGAGAAGAGCTGGTAGCTAGTCAGGCGACTACATACCTGTCTTCTCCTTCCTCCGGAGTCCTGCGCGCACCCAGAAGGTCTGCCAATCATGTTTTGAGTTTAACCCCAAGCAGTGTACAGCATATCTTTCCGACAGTTAGTCTGTCTTGGATCAGAGACCCACTAGTGCCCTGGAGGGTCCCCGAGCTGCTGGAATGGCACTAGGAGTGAAGAAGAGGATCAGAGCTGAGCACAGGGCTGGGCTGGGGCTCTCAGAAAGGGGGCCCTGCTAGCCCTTGGGATCCTCCTCACTTCTCTCTTCAGCTCAGAGAGCAACCGCTGGACTAAAGTCAGCCTTAGCTGCTCCGGGCTTCAGGGGCACATGGGGCAAGGAGGCAGAAGCTGAGAGCAGAGCCTCCGGGTTCAGACATCAAAGTGCTTCACAAATCTAGGCCTTTCCATGGAAGCTGTCCCATTATCCAGGCCTCGGAGGGGGGTTGCGTGGCTACCCAAGCTAGTGCTCAGCCCATGGGGGCACATACAGGTCCCTAAGCTACTGACCTGTCCTCTCAAATCAAAGAGAACAGCAGCCCATAATGGGGCATGCTTTCGTGACCGTTCAGGGAAGCAGTTTTCTCTTGACCTCCCACGGGTAAGGAGAGAACAGCCTCGTGTGCCTCCCAAAGTTGGTTTTAGAAGTGCCAGGCTCCCATGGTTTTTCCACAGCCTGCGTGGATAACCTCATCTCTTCCGGTCTCCAGAAGCAAGAAGAAGCAATATCTGCTATTCACAGCCCAGCCGAGCTGCTGGCTCGCTTTGCAAAACTGCAGTTGGGTTTTCCAAGGGGCCACTAGAGATGAAGGACATGCTTGTAAACTGTGAGGCGCTTCTGTGTCCAGTATCGGCCAAGCAGTTCTGCAGCAGGTCCCAGCGACAGGGCCCCAGGGTAAAGCCCTGCAGAAACTTTGCAAAAGGCTTACGATGCCCCATACCAAGCTAAACAAGGCACTGAAGGTATGACCTTGCCTGGACATATTGCCATGAGATAAAATACAATGGGCTCAAGAAAGTTTGAAGAGAAAGGGCTCCATCTGGGGACAGGAAACAGGGCCTCAGGCATGGCCCAATGAAGAGTCCACCCTGGCACTCACCACAGTCACACGACACCCCAAAGACCACTTTCCTAGCCTCCTCTTGCATAGAGCAGAATGCTCCTTGTCTTTGGGTTGTGTCTCCTCCAGGCCAGTGACAGTAAACATGCCCAAACACCACAGATAAAATATATTATCACACTATTATGTACAGAATATATACACAGTCACCAGGCATACGTTATGTTCCTTATTACAGACATGGTAGCGGAATGTCTTCCTGTACATGGCCCAGTGGCTACTTGCTGAGAGATCCCCTGGAGGTAAAATAACCTTCCTCAGAGCTATCTGAAAGTTTGGGGCCAGGAAATGGGTGTCCTTCTTACCCCATCCATGAAGACTGCACCAAGAAGCAGCTCATCTTGACCATTCACTCAAGAGATGTGGAGAGCTAAGAGAAAGATACAGCGGCTTCCCGGGCTCTTCGAGATGGGTGGACCGGCTGTGTTTCCCTTGAAGGAGACACTCTGGGTGTCTTACACGAAGCTATCAGTAACCAGAGTCCCGGAGGGCCTAGACTCCAGGCTCTTGGGGAGAAACGGGCAATAAATAAGGGCCTGGCAGGCCTAAAGAAATTTGCTGAGGGGCTCAGGCTTTAGCTCCACGGGGAGCAGTCGAACATTGGCAGTCACGGGGCCTTGGGCCCCGCCCCCTTCCAGCAGTCATTGTAACAGCCTTGTGAGGTGGGTGAGAT